CTCGCGGGCGTGTGGGCGTCGGCCTGGAGCCCTGACAGTAGCTCCGGGGAGCGCAAGAAGACTACCGCTTTCGCACCCTGAGCGGAGGGGCGTTGCCCCTGTGGTGACGGGAGTCACAGAGAGCATCCGCGCAGAGCTAAGAAGGACGGAGCGGTAGTCTTCCAGCGCTGCCTGCAGCTCCTGCAAGCGCCTGCTCCAGGTGGGCGGCGGGGTATGTGCTGCGTCAGTAGCTGCTGGCAGCGTCGGGAGAGTACCGCTTCCACCCCCTGGACACAGGGAGTGGCGGCCCGGCTGCGAGTAGCGTCGCACTGCCGTGACACTCGTTAGGCGTTGGTGACCACCCCTGTGCCCAGGGGGTGATAGCGGTACTTTTCTGGCGCTGCCTGCAGCTGCTGTTAGTCACTGACGCAACACAGGCCCCGCCGCCCGCATGGAGGCGCTTGCAGGGGCTGCAGGCAGCGCTGGAAAAGTACCGCTGCAACCCTCTCAGCGGACAGCTCGGCCCCACCCCTCTGCTGTGAGGGTTGGAGCGGCACTATTCCAGCGCTGCCTGCAGCCTCTGTTAGCGATTACAGGCGGGCGGCGGGGTCTGTGTTCCGTCAGTTGCCAATAGTAGCTGCAGGCAGCGCGGGTAGAGTACCGCTGCAAGCCTCTTAGCAGGGGGTGGGGCCCACCGTCATAAGCTAACAGTATCTAGAGGCAGTGCCGGGAGAGTACCGTTATCATCCCCTTGTGAAGGGGTGGGGGCCCAGCTGCTCGTAGCGTCACACTGCCGCGACACTCGTAAGGCGTCTGCCACAAGACGTCGAGTTGTATCGCCCTGCAACACAAGCACTGCACGTTTGGTCTCCAAAATAGAATGTGGTGGCCATCCCCGCGGAAAGTGGAGGTAGACGTATGAGCCCTCTACCGAGCGGCGAGTACGAGAGAAATACAAGAGGCTCGGTTCGGCTCGGAGAGACGAAGTGGGGGTAGTATGTTTCTAACCTCAAAATAAAATCGTAAGAAATTGTAATAATCGGTTTTTAATCTCCAGACATCAGTGTTAATCGATATTTAGCCACACACACTCTCCTGCGCTTAATACATGTTCGCTACAGAGGAGTGGGGAACAACTAACAACATTACGATAGGTAGAAGATTCACATTTTTCGCACTGTTTTGTGTCATGTTTACAATTTTTGAATATGACTTTCATTCTTGGAATGTCCGTCATTGTGAAGGAGTGTCCAGGGCACTTTGCTGCCACAACGGCTAGGGCGTAAATATCTACAGGCGTTAGCAAGTTTTCTATGATCCGCCACACCACATTGAAAAGGTCTTTGAGCATTGCCAGCGAATTCAGCACATTGGCTGTCTTCATATCGTCCGTTGGAATCCTGTCCCCGTAGAAATCAATAAAGGGATCTTCTTCCAAATCGAACGCAACGAACTGCAAACAAAGTTTCGAGGTTAGGGAACATTTACCGATCGAACTGAATCTAGTTTATAAACAAATTTCATACCCATTTAAGTGAGTCCACTGCCATCGTGAACAGATGTGACGGCACGTCCAGTGGTATATGCGAACCCGATAAAACGGATTTTAAACGCACCCTGCGCTCCCGGTCGCGTGTGTGATCGCAGTGAGCAGAACGGTTGCGCTTTGCGCTGGCTCAGCTGCTCACTGCCGTGACACTCGTCACCTCTGCATCGCCCCCCTCCCAGATCCCTAAGAGTCCTCACGGCGGCGTCACGCTGGTCACAACCGCCGCGTATGTAGTTGTATCATTGGCGAGCGAGACGCACAATAGAGGGCGACAAGAAATGTTCTGCATGTGGTAAATGTAGTAATGTCGAGCTTCATATTTGGTCCAGGGTCGCGGGGTCGCTCTATGCGTGCCAGAGCAATAGGTGCCAAGATGTGATTTCCCAGATTCAGAAGGACCGAGAAAAAGCGGCCGAGACAAGGCGGCCTAAGGTTAAGAAGTCCTTGTCCTTGAAAAAAACAAGTAAGCCTAAATATGTTCGAAAACCGAAGGCTAAACACGAAGAAGACAGCCCACGGTCCCAAATCTTTCTAAGGATATTGAAGAAGAAGCATGGAAAATGTGAGTATAAACAACCAGTCCAGAGATCTGTGACCGTCTATAGAGGTTAGGGTGAAAAACAACTCCCTAATATCTGGACTTTTCTTTTCAGATGAATTTATGGTTGATCGGCCTTACAAAGTACACAAGAAGAGACAAGAGAAGAGTTCATTTTCAAAAAAAAAGAGCTGTTCCTCCCGGAACACTATGACTTTGACAATATTATGGCTAGATTCCCTGATTCTGATGATGAGAATGAATAACCCTATATGAAGTTAAGTTGTAAAAATAGCAGAATTGAAATATATTTGCATGTAAAGAGCCCGCAGAAATGCCTATTTCGACACACATATATCCCTTTTAAGAAATATGTTCAGAATACTTTGACTTGAGGTGAAAGGCTACCGAGGTGGCCTTTTCCCGCTCAAATTTAGTAAATAACACTAGCAGCAGGCAGCACTGGAAGGGTACCGCTGCAACCCTCTCAGCGAACAGCGCGGCCCCACCCCTCTGCTGTGAAGGTTGGAGCGGCACTATTCCAAAACTCGATCTGGGCCAAGGTGACTGCCCAGCCAAGGCCTGCGGCCTGGCTGCTCGGCCGGAAGAGTGCCGCTGCAACCCTGTCAGCAGAGGGGCGGGGCCCAGCTGACCGCTGAGTGACAGCTGTCACAAGTGGGCCCCAAAGAGGGTCCTGACGGCCCGCGCGCGCGCGCCGTGTCATTGGCTGGTCTGGAATACGCACCTGCTACGGGTCTGCATCTCGATCCGTAGGTCAATCGGGTCGGAACCAGTATTTCGTGACGGCGTAACCGAAGTGCGCGCCAGCATTTTAATAGGTAACCTGAGAGCAAGAAGAGAAAGAAAGAGAGAAGAGAGAAGAGGACGACAAGGCCAAGAAGGAGCAAGAAGAGAAAGAAAGACAGGAGAAAGAAAGAGAGGAGAGAGAAAACCAAGACAAGGCCAAGAAAGAGAAAGAAGAGAAAGAAAGACAGGAGAGAGAAACAGAGAAGAGAGAAAGCGAGGAGAGAGAGAGGCAAGACAAGGCCAAGAGAGAGCAAGAAGAGAAAGAAAGACAGGAGAAAGAAACAGAGAAGAGAAAAAGAGAGGAGCTTGAAGTAATGGAGAGTGAGATGCAAAACGAAACACAGATGTTGCGTGCACGAAGAGCATCCCTGCCCTTAAAAAAAAGAAAACTTTTCGGTGAGTAGTTTTTCCGTCATTCGTTATCAGCACTCGCTGATGCATGCATTAGTGTGATCATTAATATTTCTTTTTTTACGCAGATGTACCTAAGGCCCCACAACACGTGATGTCACCAATCTCAGGTACTGCTATTTCCTTCGCGGTGTATATCTTGCATGCAAAACATTTAAACCTTATTAATTTTACAATTTCCCACTCTTTCGCAGGAGCCTCTCCAGAACCGCTAGAAAAGAAGGCGAAAGATTTGAAAAAATTACCATACCCAACTGTAAGGTCACGGCACGGAGCGAAGAGAAATAGTGGGAAGGAAAGCACCGATTCCCAGAAGGCTGACCGCGGTACTGCTATTTCCTTCGTAGTGTATATCTTGCATGCAAAACATTTAAACCGTATTGAATTTACAATTTCCCACTCTTTTCGCAGAAGACTCTCCAGATCCGCTAAAAAAGAAGGCGAAAGAAGTGAAAAAAGCATCATGCTCATCTGTAAGGCCACGGCGGAAAGCAAGAAAAAATAGTGAAAAGGAAAACACTGATTCCTAGGAGGCTGACCGCGGTACTGCTATTTCCTTCGTGGTGTATATCTTGCATGCAAAACATTTAAACCGTATTGAATTTACAATTTCCCACTCTTTTCGCAGAAGACTCTTCAGGTACGCTAAAGAGGAAAGCGAATCAGCGTTGCTCAACTCAAAGCTCACAAAGAAAAAA